GGCGCCGGGAGCGCACGCGGCTCGCTGGAGAGCAGGCCGGGAGGTGCCGCGTCAGTCCCCCGCTTAGGTTTCCACCCGCTGCTTTCTCCCTGATTCCGGTTCCCCGGCCAGGCCCGCGGATGGCTCGCGGGGGAGCCGTTTATCTGTTCCTGCCTCCGCCTGCCTCTCTGGCGCCGAGACGATCTGGTCATTTACCCATGTCCTTGTTTTACAAGTGGGGAAACTGAGGCCGGGGTGCAAGGGGAAGCCAGCCGTACAGGCCAAGGTTGTCGGCTGCAAAGCAAGAGAGCAACCGAGTCTGGGCATCTTGAGCCAAAGACGATGCGTGACCCAGAGAGGAAACCGCAGGACCCTAAGCGGCAGCGGGATGGACCCGGAGGCGTCGAGAACCAGGGAGACGCCAGGACAAGGCAGGGGCCTCGGGCTGGAGGACCAGCCGGAGCTCGGCCAGCGCTTCCTGTCTCCCCTCCTTGCGACACCGGTTGGCAAAGTCCCAGGAGGGCAAGTCGGCCTCGTTCAGCCACGTTGGCCACACGGGGAAATGAAAAAACAGAGGGTCCAGCCCCGGCCCGTGTGGCTCGCTGGTTAGAGCACCGGCCTGCGCCCTGAAGGGTCGAGGGGTCGATTCCCGGTCAAGGGCACGTACCTGGGTTGCAGGTCCCTGCGGGAGGCAACCCCCCGACGTGTCCCTCTCACGTCCACGCTTCTCTCTCTCCCCCACCTCCCTCCTTCCCTTCCACGCTCTAAAAATCAATGGAAAAAAATGACCTCAGGTGAGAACCAATGAAAGGTCAAACCTCCCTTCTCCCCGCGGGTCCCTTCGGTCCCGGTGGCAGGCTCTGCCCCGGCCCCTCTGCTTATCACTTACAAGCGTCGCTGTAAACGATCCCTTTGCATAGTTAATCCGGCCTCTTCATTATGTGTTTAGTGGCGCTCGGCAGGCGTCAAATCCGAAAGCGGGCTTTGGAGCAGGTCCAGCTGCTGTTTCCTGTGATATTCGGGGAACGTGGGGTTTCGGGAGTGGCCCCCGGAGCGTGTCTGGCTGGAGGGCCTCCAGCGGCCCCGCCCTGCGCGTCTCTCTTGGAGCAAGTCCAGCCGTCTGGAGACGCCGATAGCTCCGGAGGGTGCCCCCGCCTCCCCGCCACCGAGCGCAGACGACCCCTCCCGCCTCCCGCGGAAATTAATACGAACCTGCCCAGCGGACGGAAAGAGGCGATGCCTGTCGGGGAGCTCGGCCGCGGGAGCCGTCGCTCACCCGGGACTCATCCGGCACACACCAGGCAGCGCCTCCCACGGGCCGGCCCTGGGGCGCGTCAGAGGGTATTGACCGGGAAGCAGATGACGGCCGGCGGCCCCCATGGAACTCGGCTCAGAGAGGGAGGCGGGGGACGGACCCAGCGCGGAGAGATGCCCGATGTGCCCTGCGCGGGCGCAGAGAACGCGGCTGGATGTGCGAGTGCGGCCGTGGGTGAGCCTCGGGGACGCCTCGGGGACGCCGCGGGGAGAGCGCGTTCGCGGGCACCGGGGCCGGGGAAGCGCCGTGTCTCCGGGTCACGCTGCGGCGGTCAGAGCGGAGCGGCCTGGAGAGAGGACGGTGGAGAGGACAGTCCCTTCCCGGAGGAGGGACGTCGTCTTACAGGCCCCGGAGGCCCCTCTGTGGACAGCAGGCACTCTTTTTATTTTACTTATTAATTTTTTAAATTCTCACCTGAGGATATTTTTTCCGTTGATTTTTAGAGAGAGGGAGGGAGGGAGGGAAACACCCATTGGCTGCTTCCCGCAGGTGCCGAGGATCGAACCTGCGGCCCGGGCACGCGGCCTCGGCCGGGAATCGAACCCGAGACCTCCGGTGCGCAGGCCGAGGCTCGAGCCCTGGGCCCCGCCGGCCGGGCTGAGCCCCCCTTTGCTCTCTTGCAGGAGCAGCGGCTTGCTCAACGAGGTGGCGCAGGTGGACTTGGAGATCGCGAGCTTCAGCAGCCTCTCGGGCACGCAGCCCGTCACGTGGCAGGTGGAGTACCCGCGGAAGGGGGCCTCGGAGGCCGCCGTGGCCGAGATCTTCGTCAGCCAGAAGGACCTGGCCGGCATCGTCCCCCTGGCCATGGTAAGACCCGGGCGGTCGCGGGGGCTCCTGAGTTCGGCCGGCCGCGTCCCCGTGTCCTTCCTGT